CCCCCCCCCCTTTTTTTGGTCAAGTTCAAATTTAATGGTTCAATAAAGAATTTGAAAGATTATTTTGCTTTTATTAATTATACTGGCACAAATTTCTCTAATTTTCATGATGTCAATCCTAGTTTGGGATAAAAGTAACACATTTTCATATGATTCATTTTTAGGTATAATAATTTTTTATAAATATATTGGCTATTGTTCTAAGTCTAGTAGAAGAGTTTAGCTACTACTAAAAAAACGATGAAGCTCTGGAGAGGGAAAGAGGGAAAGGGAACTAGGGCACAATTATGACTCAAAAATTTGGGGATCTGGAAAATTAGGTAGAGGAAAAGGCGTCAAAAGAAAAGGAAAAAACTTCATGCGCAACAAATTGAAGGGGAATTCAACAAACACCATCTCTATCTATTCGGATGTGGCCCACTTGGGGTTTCTCAATCAGACAGAAAGCACTCAAGAGAACTTGGCTGGTACTACAAATCCCTTTGCTGGAAAACGGAGGAAGATCACCAAAAAGTGGCGGTGAAGAACTCGATGAAGTCGGTTGATTATCTCGAGAGTGAGCCAGACTACAGCGATTGGGGAAGGGATCTTTTCTGCTGTTTTTTCCCTAATTTAGAATCTGATAATTATTACTTGCTAATGATTTGGCTAATTTTAATCCAATCTAATGGTCAGGATTACCTGAAGATCATCAATGACTTGTTTTGCTGGGTAAACCAGCTGAGAAAGAGGGCGTGCAATGGGGCTGGTTGGCATTCTCAAGAATCTAGGGAAGTTCCTTCTCTATCACTTAAAAAATCTTGCATGCATTGGTGGTGTTATCTGTGCAATAATCATTATTACATATCTGAAACCACTATTTATACCGTGTTGTGGCTGTGGTTCATCATCTGCTTCCAAACCCTTTATACCTTAGTCTGTTGGTGTTGTGTCTTGTTTTGCTCCTCCAAAATGAATCCTCAACTTGCTGCTAACTCTTCCCAAACTAGATCCCGGAGCTCAAGTCCTAGAGCTCACCCCATTCCCAGGAGGAATACTCCTCTTGAACCTTCTGTCATTCATAGTGGCCGGTTCACTTTCACTATAAAGAATAATGAAACCAGAGTGTCAACCACTTCCCTTGCTTCTAGTGTTCAGAGTCACTTTGAATCCTTTTGTCTTGTTGGAAAAGTCTTCGGAGTCCCTGTCCCGGGGAGGGCTATTAGAAACCGCCTGAAAAGTGACTGGAAAAATCTGCAAGACGAAGTCTCTGTTGATCATGTAGGTAGAGATTGGTATAAGATTGAATTCTGCTCTGTGGAAGATGTTGAGCACGTGATGAAGAATAGACCTTGGTTTGTTCCGGGTCAAATCTTTGCTCTTCAAAGATGGAGACCTGATTTTTCTCCATTTCATGCAACTGTCGAGTGCATTGTCTGTTGGGCAAGAATTCCTTTTTTACCGCTTCACTATAAGGAACCTGAAGTGCTCACTGACCTGGTCTCCATTCTTGGGACCCCAATTAGTATTGACCAAGCCTCTATGGTAGGTAAACAAAGCATGTTTGTTCGTGTCTGCCTGGAGGTGGATTTAACCAAGCCTTTGAAGAGGTGTCTGATTCTGGGAGAGGGCCCTAAGGAAACCCGCATTTATATTAGTTATGAAGCCCTTTTTGCTATCTGTTTTTACTGCAGCCAGAAGAATGAGCCAGGACATATTTGCCCCATCAAAATATCCAACAAAAATTACCTTCAGGTTGAGAGGCTGCATAATGAACCAAAATTCTTCCTTAGAGATTTGGTTTTAGACGAAGAGGACCAAAGGAAGCTTCATGATGATGTGATCCTTGTTTTCCCTCTACCCATTACTGTTGAGCATATCCACAAGAATGAGAATGGTGAGGATGGTGAGGAGGGTTATATGCAGAATAACGAGGAGAAAGAGGCGGGTTGGACTGTGGTTGCCAACTGCAAGGGGAAATCCAAAGGTGTAATAAGGGATGAAAGAACCTTTACTGAGGTTGCTAGAGGCATTAGAATTAATGAAGGAAGTCAGAGTCCTATCCCTAAAGCCTATTTTAAGGAAGCTGGGCCTCGTGGGGTGGACAAAGGAAAGAACTTATTGTATGATCCGAGCCTCTCGCAGGAGGAGAATAGTTCCTCTGCTGTTCCTGCTTTCAAGAGCCCTAAGAAAAGAGCTAGAGAGCTTTTCGAGGAAGCCCAGGAGGACTCAGAACCGAGTGTAGAGATTCTGGGGGTTTTTAAACCCTCAACCCTTGACGTCAACACTCCCAATCCATGAAGCTCCTAGTTTGGAATAGCCGAGGCAGTGCCTGGCGTGGTTTCGTTTTGCAAGCTCTCTTTTATATTAGTACGCTATGTTTAGACCTCTTTTGTATTTTGGACTCTAGGGCCTCTCGGGCTCAGGCAGATCGCTTGGCTCAGAGGTTAGGTTTCAATAACAGTGTCCCCGCCATTGGGCAATGTGGGGGAATTATCTTGCTGTGGAACCCTTCTATCTTAAATATTAATATTTTGAATTATCACGAGCGTTACATTAACTGCAGGATTCAGGAGTTAGCTACCAATAAGGTGTGGTTAACTACTTTCGTTTATGCCTACCCTCAGAAAACCAAACAAATTTCTCTTTGGACAGAGCTTTCTGCCCTAAAGCCTTTGAATCATGCCCCTTGGCTACTTCTAGGGGATTTCAACAATATCTGCTCTTTAAATGAAAAAATAGGTGGCTCTCAGGTGGTTTCCCAAGCCATGATGAACTTTAATAAGTTTTTAAATGACTGTGAGGTTCTGTCCATGAACGCTTCAGGTGTGCCTTTTACTTGGTGCAATGGGCATCATGATAACTCTATTATTTACGAAAGATTAGATCGTGCCCTTGCTAACCCAAATTGGATGAGTCTTTATCCTCATTGTGAGCTACAAAATCTGCCTATTTTAAGATCAGACCATGGCCCAATTCTTCTTACTTGTAGTAACCACCTTAGAAGAGTTCCAGAAGCCTTTAGATTTGAAGCCATGTGGTTAGCGCATAAAGATTTTGACAAAGTTGTTACTCAAACCTGGAATAATAATTATAGTGGAAATGCAGCTCAGAAAATCCAAACCTGCTGTAATACCTTTAAACATCAGCTGAAGTCTTGGAATAGAAATGTGTTTGGAGACTTATTCCAAAAGATTAAAACTGCCCAAGAAACTCTACAGTCAACTCAAGAGCAATTGGCCCAAAACCCCTACAGCCCTTATCTGCTAGATAAAGACTCCAAATTAAACACTGAGTTAAAGCTTCTACTAGAGCAAGAAGAGACTTTTTATGCCAGAAAATGCCCTTGGTTAATGCAAACATTAAGAATTGAAATTATTAATTAAATGAGGATAATATGGTAAATTCACACTTTTTCATAAAAAATTAAATTAAATTAAATTAAAAGAAAAACAATGTATCCTATTTTTATGGAACACAACTACCCATTATCACCAAGTACTTTCACACTCAAGCTCTTATTAGAAGGAAACGTAATCAAATTCTTAGAGTTAAGGGTCCTGGTGGGATTTGGGTTGAGGGGGATAACCTCCCTCATATCTTCATTGAAGCTTTCAAACTTAGGTTCAAAGCTGATCAGGCCCCAAACCAGCATTCGGTGACTGATTTCCTCCAAATAGTTGAGCCTTGTGTCACTAACCAAGACAATGTTAACCTTTTGGCTCCAGTTTCAGATCTTGAACTGGAGCATTCCATTAAAGGCATTGGTCCTCTTAAAGCCCCTGGCCCAGATGGGTTGCAAGCTATCTTCTATCACAAATGCTGGGAAAACACTAAGCAAATGGTCAAAAATTTAGTCAATGATTTTCCAACCAATAATATCCCTCTACAAGATGTGAATCACACCAACATAGCTCTAATTCCTAAAGTTGACTCCCTGGAGACTGTTAATCACTATAGACCTATCAGCTTGTGTAATGTCTCTTATAAGGTCATCACTAAGATCCTAGTCAATCGTCTAAAACCTATTCTTTCAAACTGTATTTCCAAAAACCAAGGAGCCTTTGCCCCTGGAAGATCTATTTTCGATAACATTCTCATTGCTCATGAGTTATTCCATGATTTCAAACGTAAGAAAGGTGCTAGGGGAGCTATGGCTATTAAACTTGACCTTGAGAAGGCCTATGACCTTCTTGACTGGGGTTACATAAGGGTTTGTCTGGCATAATTTGGTTTCAGTAATGCTTGCTGCGATCGAATCATGAATTGCATCTCTAGTACTTCTTTCTCAGTGCTTATTAACGGATCCCCCTATGGCCATTTCAATGCTTCTAGGGGAATCCGGCAGGGAGATCCTCTATCTCCCTACATTTTTATTTTGTGCATGGAACCGTTTATTAGGCATTTTAACAATCTTACCAAGAATCCCAAATCTAATGTGGGCCTTTTATCTTCCCCTGGCGGTGACCGTATCTCTAACCTGGTTTTGCTGATGATTGTCTTATTTTTGCCAGGACTACTGCTACTGCCGTCAGAAATATCAACTGCTTATTGGAGAACTTCTCTAAAGTCTCAGGTCAGAAAATTAACTTCCATAAGTCCACAGTCTATTTTTCGGGTAATGTTCATTCCCAAGTTAGAGTTGTGTTGAGTAACCTCTTGCAGATACAACATAAGACTACATTAGGTCGATACCTTGGCATACAAAACATTATTTTTTGGAAGGATCCAACAAATGCCAAAATGATGATAGAAAAAATCCGATCCAAGTTTGCTGGCTGGAAGGCCCAAACGTTATCTAGAGCAGGTCGTCTTACCTTAATTAAGGCTAGTGTCTCTGGTATCCCGAATCATACTCTCTCTTGTTTTAAATGCCCTAAAGAAGTCTGTAAATAAATGAATGCTTGTAGTAGGCGTTTTTTCTAGGGGAATGGGACTAAGGTCCCCCCAGTTTCTTAGAAGGATATCTGTTTGCCTAAAAGTCTAGGAGGGCTAGGGGTTAGATCTGCCACTCTTTTTAACAAAGCGGCGTTAGCAAAGCTGGGCTGGATTTGTTTATCTGACCCTACCAACTAGTGGGCTCAACTAATGGCTAAAAAATACTTAAGAAAAGATGGCTTCCTTGCTGTAACAAAAAGGACTTCTCACTCGTTAGCCTGGAAGGCCATCCTTGATGCTCGTATGGTTCTCCTTAAAGGTTTAAGATGGATTGTTGGTAATGGACTATCCATCCTTTTTTGGACTGATAATTGGGCTTTTCCCTTCCCTTTACTTGATTTAATTCCTGCTTTCATGAGAACTAACCTCAATTTAAATGCTAAAGTTGCAGATTTTATTCAGAACCAAACCTGGCAGCGTGATAAGCTCATCCAAGAAGTTGATGAAGACATTCTGGAAAAAATTCTAACTATCCCTCTCCCTCTGTCACCTTTGCAGGATAAATTAGTCTGGGGACCCAACCCTAATGGAAAGTTTTCAATAAAATCAGCTTATAATTTACAATTGCAGGATGAGCCTTCCCATCCTAGAGCCACCTTATTGAAGAAAATGTGGAGTTTAACTCTACCCCCTAAAGTCAAGCTCTTTGCATGGCTACTTATTCGAAAAAGATTTCAAGTCAGAAATCATTTACACAGATACTTGCCGAATATCAATCCTGAATGTCCCCTGTGTACTGATCACTTGGAGACTTTTAACCATTTATTTTTTGAATGCCAGTTTGCTGTCAACATATGGAGGTGCACCTCTATAAGCCCTTTGCCTCTCCAACAGAATCTTGATGGTATTGAATGGTTGGATGCTCTCCCTCACTTGATGGATAAGGATGGCACAAATATTCTTTCCAAAGCTCTCCTTCTTTGCTGGCAAATTTGGGAGGCTCGGAATAATTGTGTGTTTAAAGACATTGCTCCGCATCCAATTAGAGCTCTTTATGCTGCTGGTCAGATTGGTCTAGACTATTGGAAAATCAACTCCACTCCTCCTCTGAATCCCAAAGGTGTGCATGCAATTAAATGGAAACCACCACCCCTTGATTGGATAAAGTTAAACTTTGATGGCTCGGTGCGTGGTAACCTGGCTGCCACTGGTTTCGTCATTCAGGATTGGAATGGTAACTTTCGGCTCGCAGGAGCTAAAAACTCTGGTCAAGTTTCGATAACTGTGGCTGAATGCCTGGCGCTCCGTGATGGGCTAGCCCATGCAATCCACAATGGATGGCGCAAAGTTTTAGTTGAAGGAGATTCCAAGCTCATCATTGACTGTATCAACAACAAGGTTTTTGTCCTGTGGAGTATTCAACTCCTGGTACAAGACATTAAGCTGCTAAGTTCTTACTGTGATGAAATTTCCTTCCAGCATGTTTTCTGAGAAGCAAACTTCACGGCTGATGCTTTAGCTAGTTTAGGCCATAATCTGAACCCTTCCCATCTGTGGGAGCGGGGGCTTCCTTTAGGATGCTCTGTTCCTATTTATTTTGTTTAGTTGGGCCTGCGTGCCCTCGTGGCTTCCGTTTGTAAGCTTTCCGTTTCTCCATAAAAAAAGAAGAAGAAGAGTTTAGCTCTTTCACCCAAAAAAAAAAAAAAAAAGAGTTTAGCTCTTATATTTTTGTTTTCTTTAGTTATATAGTAATCTATACTATTGTTTTTAAAAAAAAGTGTAACAAAAAGATTTAAAAGATTAGAAATTAAATAAATAAATAAATAAAAACTCAGGTCGTTTAGGCCCATGGTGGCCCGACCCATTAGGCCGGTAAAAGCCCGGCCTAATGGGTAGGCTTAAATCCTTTGAAATCTCGGCCCAACCCGAAATTTAAAAACAGCCCGTTATGGCTAGCCTAAGGGTACTTATGCAACCATGCACACTCCTTTGGGAAAACAAAGTTGGATGACCATTTTGCTGATTGTGCATGTGATTGAAATATTAAGTAGTCATTATACATACCTTTAGGGCATGTTTGGTACCCCTCACTATATTGGATTGGGTTAAATAACACTTAAAAATCCATGTTTAGCAAGAGGGGGACTAACTTAAATGAGACTAAATAGTCTAACCGTAAAAAATTTGCCTCACTCGCTCGTTCAATATAACGAGCTTGAAACATGGTTCGCTAAAGGCTTTTTATCACAAAACGTCCTTGACGTTTACGAAACTATCAGATTGCATCCTTAAAGTTTTTTTGTATCACTCATGGTCCCTAACGTTAATATGAGTGCTCTTAAATAGTCCCTTTGTCAAAAAAACAGTTAAATCCAAGGATATAATCGTCAAATCAATCAAAAATTATAAAAAATATATATTTTATTTCCTTCCTCTCTCTTTCTTTCTTCTTCTTCTTTCTCTCCGCCAGATATCTATTCTTCTTCTTTCTTCTCTCTCCCAGAGTTCACTCTTCTCTCTCTCTCTCCCGCTTTTTGGCATGAATAATGAATGCATCCATCTCCTTTTTCTCAAAAAATCCCCAGTGCAAGCCCATTCTGCATAAATGGGGTTTAACCATTTCTTCCAAAACTGCCCCTTTTTCCTCTGACTCGCAAGCACTCTGTCTTCTACAGTGCAGCCCCTCTCTTCCTCTCATTTCTTGTCTCTCAAACTTTGTCTTCTCAGGCCATCACAAAGGTTTTGAAAACCTGTCTCTCTCATTCGCTCTTTGGTCTGCCTTCTCGGAGCTCCACTCAGTGCAAGAGAGGGTGCTGAGTTTCTGCAATTTTCTTTGCAAAGTATCCGAGAAAGAGGAGGAGAGCTTGCTGAAAATATTCACACAAGTCGAAAGGATTCATATTGTGAACACCTTTTTCATGCATTTGTTGAATTTTTTTGCGTTTCAATGTTAAAATATAATGGGTTGTTAACCCCGATTTAAATGATTGATGGGTTTTGAAAATCTGTATAAAATATTTCTTGGTCTGGGTGGAATAAGTACTGCATTTGTGTTTTGATATTCTGAATGCATCATTGAAGCAACCATTGATTTTCTTAGATAGCATTTTGTAATAGTTGACCGCTGCTAGGAAAGAAGAAAAAGGAGAGAGTGATAGAGGATAGGGGAAAAAAAGAGAAATAGAGAGAGAAGAGATAAGGAATCTGGCGGAGAGAAAGAAGAAGAAAAATGAAAGAGAAAATGGAAGGAAAAACAAATATATACATATATATATATATTTATAATTTTGGATTGATTTGACGATTATATCCCTAGATTTAACAGTTTTTTTGACAGGGGGACTATTTAAGAGCACCTATATTAACGTTAGGGACCATGAGTGATACAAAAAAACTTTAAGGATGCAATCTGATAGTTTCGCAAACGTCAGGGACGTTTTGTGATAAAAAGCCTTCGCTAAATAGTGAGCTTGCTAAATAGAGCAAGCAAGTCCGACGATAACCAACTTCTTCTTCTTATTCACCTAGAACTGTCACCACCATATCCCTAACTGAACCACTAGAATCACCACAGGCAGTCGTCAAACCCAGTCACTCAAACCATCTACCACCAATTCAAACTCGGCCATTGAAATCAACCACCACGAATTCAAACCCACCCACTTGAATCAACCACTACCAATTCAAATCTAGTGGAACCAAAACCAAATTCAACCCAAATTCAACCACCACTGTCAAACCCAATTGAACCCTTTGAAAAATCATCAACCATCGACCATGGCTCAATGAAATCAGATGGAGATTTGTGACTTCAAAGGAGATGAAAATCTGTGACTTCAAAGGGGAATAAGAGAGAGAAAATGATAAGGAGGTAGAGAAAGGTTGGGAGGGGGAGATAGAAAAGGAGAGAGAAGGAGAAGGACATCATTGTATCCATATTGGAGAAAAAAAAAAGAGAACCAGAGAGTGAGTTCGGGAGGAAGAGAGAAAAAAAGAAAAAAGAAAGGGGCCCGGGAAGGAAGAAGAAAAAGAAAAAGAAAAAGGGGAAAAAAAGGAAGAAAAAAGAAATAGTAGAAAAAAGAAGAAAGACATGAGATAAAGATAGTTTTAGCTTTTAAAATATTATAATTTTTTTATTTAATAAATTATACATTTTTCGTTGGTTTCTTTGCATCATTTACTTAGTTTTAGGTCAACATCTCTAATGAATTTTAAATATTTAAATAATTGATTTAATGGTAGAATTGTGTGTAGTGAACCGAATCTCTAATTTTTGAGTCATGTAGATGACTTTGGTATATATGAAGAATTTCTAACTTTTGCATATATGAAATGTACATGTCAATTTGGTTTGGAGGAAAAGAAATGTATATGTCAATTTGGTAATTCTAATAACAAAAAAACTTACATTTAATTATTTAAAAATTATTATTTTTAAATATAAAATAATTATTTTTTAGTCCGACACAACACCAAACATAGGTCTTCACTACTTTTACAATCCAGCTTCGTAGTCCGACGCAACACCAAACGTAGGTCAGGACTTAATCCAGTTTAGGCCAATCCGAGACAGTCCCAGGATTTAGTCCAGTCCATACCAGTCTGCCGTACCAAACGACCCCACACAGGACAAGTACTGGTGCAGGTGTACAGATGTTGAAGGTGTCGCCACAACCATTTGTGTTTATTTTGGAGGACTCCCCCAAATCGAATGAACTTATGTTGCCAATCTTCATAATTTTTGTGTTTTTATGCACTCATCTTTTTATTTTTTATTTTTCATTTTTTTGGGAGAATCTTTGTCAAGTGATGTCATGGTGATGGAGCTACATGTGTTTTTATACACAAACACATGTAGCCATAGAATAAGATGCAAGAATGGTGGACCCAAAAGAAGAAAGGAGTCTAAAACATAAACATAAGCAATTTTTGTATTTCAAACTTCCATAAAATCATATAATCATTTCCATGCATCTAGGCTACGGCTATATGTGTCTTTCCAACATTATATCATAATCATTTATGACACACAAAGCACACTGTAAAGTATTATTTACGATGCAAAGCTGCAAGCAGTAAAAGTCCTTGTCGTAAATAATGTTCCTTAATAACCACATGTTTTTCCAGTCATAAATAATCCCACAAAAAAATACGTTTTTTTTTTTTTTTGTGGTAATAATAAATCTTTTGTTGATTTTATCATTCATTTAGTACATATTACATGTTAAAACTCAAAATTTACAGAACAAATGCCATCTAACCCAATATTAAAGAATAAATTAGATAATGAGCATGAATGAGATTAATGAAGGGATTAAACTCCATGTGCTTAGGTTAACCAATAGAAATTTCAAACAAAAACATAACATTTGATTGATGATAATGAACTAGTGCACCTAATGTCAATAGAGCAATACAAAAAAGACCAAGCAATTTCAATAGATGTGCTTGTAAGATTTTTATGTCTTAAAAATCTCACTCAAGTGGTCTGCTAATCAACGTAGAGTTCCAAAGCTATGTGGAGACTAAGGAATTCAATTATAACTGGACTTGTAAGTCTTGGAGAGAAGTGTTTCAGTTTAAGTCCAAGACTGCTAAGGTTCCTAATTCATAGTGGATTAGAACTACTAATTCTGATGCAATAAGGAGAGGTTGAGGACTCCTTGATGGGCAAGGAGTTCCGACTGATGCATATAAATACATAGTCCCTGCTCATATCGAAGTACCCACTCTAGAGAACTCATACCCCATCTGTGAGAGAGTATACAGAAATCGATATTGAGGAGATGTGCTGTGTGTGTCAAGTTGCTGCTTCGATCATTCCAATGGCTACAGAACAAGGTAGTGTTCTCCTATATGCAATCTATTTAGTTTACAGTGCTGACTTTCAAATCTCCAGACCAAAGTAACTTCATCTACATAGAAGTGAAGTGGCTAATGCTCCAAGCTCTAGTGTTAGTAGTTGACAATTTCCTCCCGGCAAACCAAATTCTTCTTGCTGAAACATCACCCAGAAAAAATAATGTAAATACATGAGTAATTCATTTTTTAAAAAGGGGGAAAAAGAATAGAAACTTCATGATTTATTGACATTCATTTGAAATAGAGCAACCAAGGAAAAGAATAGAAAGTATACTCTGTAGAAACACGGGAAGCAATGGTTGAAGTGTTTGGTGAACAAAATCAAGGTATGAGAATTGCTTCTCCCTGCAAGGTCATAAACATAACATATTAGGATTAATATAGACCATTCCCTGGAAAATATTTAGAATACACAAGATATGGAACTTACTTGGAACAAAAGAATCTGGCCACATTAACAATCTAAACTATTTTCTCACCTTCTTCTTCCTACTCTCCTAATCCCTGGAAGTAGATACACTAACTTTGGTTAATATAATATCGAGAGAGAGAGAGAGAGAGAGAGAGAGAGAGAGAGAGAGAGAGAGAGAGAGATTGATACTACTATCATTGACAGCTATAACAAGCAAATTCATACTTCCAGATCAGAAAAACATCACCAACATAATGATTACCTCCATCAACAACTATTGAATAGAATATATGTAAAGCCAATATAAGATTAGTAGATGGATAAAAGTAGCAACTGACTTAATCAGAAGGTTAGAGGTGCAAGTAAAGCGTGGCATAAGAGTCGAGGCTTAAAGCATATAATGTGTCAGATAAAATGGAAACAACAAAAAATAGAAAGTAACTGTGAAAATAATTGCATAAATGATTTCAAATGTTGAGGCATAGAAAGAAAGGCACATGACCCAATGAAGTTAGAATACACTAAAAACCTCTGTAAGCGCCATATTTGAACAAAGATTCACTGAACTCTCAAAACCAATCTTTTCCTGTCTCAGTCAATCTTGTTCACAAAACATTCATAACCATCTGAGATATTGAAAAGAAAAGATACAAGCACAAAAGAACACAACTAGACAATTTGAATTAGTGTATAACCAACCAAAAGAAGAGTTTCACCTCATGAGGAAGCGTAGCTCCTTTCAGCTAATAAATGACAAACGAGCGGAACCAAGAGTTGGGCAGTAACCTCACATTGGTCCGGAGCCGAAATTTCTTTAACCGTTTGGAAATTCATGAATCTACAAAATCTGGAAAGATATATATATAAAAAATTGGAAATTCGTGATCCAATTGCAACAGAAAAAAATTGAGACAAATCTGATAAAACCGCACCTTGAGAACTGTTAGGCGTTCATCATCAAAGCAATTGGCTCGAGTAGTCATTGCTACTGAAAATGACTGGGCACTTAAAACAGACTTGCAATATTTAAGATAGAATATCTAGCAGCTAGCCTTGTCATATGATATTAAAATCAACCAAAGAACACAGATGAGATATAATATCTCTCTGAGCATGCTTACAACCAAACAGTACGTATGTAATGAGTAGTCAATACCGCTAACTGCAAAAATAAGAGAACCATACAAGAAAGGGTCAAGAAAAGAAAAATCAAATCCTCCCAAAACCAGAGTCCCCACAGTTAAAAAAAGTGGAGCCAGTTCAATGCTTCAAATTTCCATGTGAACACTCAAATAGGAGGGCAGATTAATTTTAACCCCTCTCTGCAGAACATGTTATGGGCTCCAACTCACTTGGTTGTCCTATGTCCTATATCAAAATCATTGACATAGGCCCGACCCATAGTGGCCTGGCTCGTTAGGCCGGTAAAAGCCCGTCCCGATAGGTGGGCTTGGGCCAAGTCCTTTGAAACCTCAGTCTGACCCAAAAAGTAAAAAAAGCCCATTACGGCCTGCCCAGCCCGATGACGAACCTTAAATGTACTTATGCAACATACCTTAAAAGCGTGCCTTTCAAATCGATTTTTTTGTTCTTAGATATAAGACTATTATTAGCAACATGACTTTCAAATTGTTCTTACAGATTGTTATGCTTGTAGTTACAAATTGAAGAAATTAAGAAAACTCTTTTTCGTTGAATTTTTCTATATGGTTAGTCGTGCCCAAGTATCTTTTATATTTTTTCTTCCTTCTCGCTTCTCTATTTCTATTAAATTTCTGGGCTAGGGCCGCGGGCTTGGAGATATCCCAAAAAACCCTAAACCCTAAATCCTAAAACCCTACTTATACTCCTCAACCTAACCTTCTCAAACCCTAACCCCAATCCTCAACCCCAACCAGGAGCTTCTTCTCTCTCTCCTTCTCTCTCTTAGATGGAAAGGCATAGCTTTTGTAGCAGCAATAACACCAACACCAACAATATCAAAGACAAGCAGCAATGGAGAGCCGAAGAAGCCATAGCTGGCAACGCTGAAGCTCTCCAAGCTCTCAGAAAACTCATCATCGACCCTATTTTCTATCCGCGTGAAGGCCAAAAGCCCCGTCTCAGAGTAACACATAAAAAAACACACTTTCTCTTTTTTCTCTTACCTTTACTCTTATATCTAATTAACTGGGTTTCTGTGTTTTCATTCAGTGGCCTAGAGGTTTACTTCTCTACGGTCCACCAGGCACCGGAAAGGTATTGAATCATTGCTTCTTTTAAGGCTTGCTTTACTTTTTTTTAAAGTTGCAAGTTTAACATTGGTTGCTAATTTTGTGTTTATATAATTTTTTTTTTCTCATGCTAGACAAGCTTGGTACGAGCAGTAGTTCGGGAATGTGGTGCACATTTAACTGTCATCAGGTACCCTGTTGGTCTTTAATCTCTGTATTGTTTTAGGTACAAATGAAATGACACCTTCGTTCCACCCTACCAATGATTGGTTTAGGTCCTAGTCCCTTGGGTGGACTAGGGATCCCTTTGGTAAGGGACTCCGTCAGATGTGGTATAAACAGACTTATTATAAGTTATGATCATATTATGTTCTCATGGTTTTGATTTCTTTTATTAACCTCTGCCTTTTTTTTTATGGTATTTTCTCTGCAGTTCAGATTTTGTTCCCAAAGCGCGTGCTGGAGCAGGTGAGAGATTTTTACAGGAGGCTTTCTCAGAGGCTTCATCGCATGCATTGCCAGGCAAGCCGTCACCAGTCATCTTTATAGATGAAATAGACGTACTCTGTCCTGGCCGTGATTCTAGGTAAAAACCAATAGTGCTACGTAGAACCCTAATGTATCCCTACTCTAACAATCCGATCCTTTGACTTTATACGTTTACACCATAAAAATAAAAATAAAAAAATTAATAAAGAAAACTACTTGTTTGCACTTCATGAAGCACATGGGTACTCCGATTTAGGTCCCTACCCGTATAGGATACTCCCTGATACTCTGATACGCGTCATATCTGTATCGGAGTCAACAGATATGGTATTTGATCCACGTACGTATACCTTTCAGAGGTTTTAAGAGGGAAAACAAACAGGAGATAAGCTTTAATTTCTGGTTGAAGAAGTCGAAGAGTTTGCACGATGAAAAAGGACTCCAACTCCAACACTTCTTCTTCTCCTACTGTATCTGCATCTTATTTTTATGTTATTTAAAATATGTTTTATATGATACATATTTTTATAACTATATATTAAAATTTTAATATAAATTTTTAATTGTCTTATCGTATCCTAGTTTTTAGAGATTTTTTGTATCTCATGTCATTTTGTATTATATCGCCGTATCCGTATCCATGCTTTATTTTCAAATCTTTGGGCACGCCCCACTTAATATGTTTAAGTTAATGTTTCAATTGCAGTAGTGCGAAAGATCGCCTAGCATCTCAACTCTTTATGTTGATGGACTCCAACACATCCTCAGCTTCTGTATCACAAGTTGTTTTTGTTGCATCCACTAACAGGTATTTTTTTCTCCTAGAATTTATGATGTGATCTGTCTGTGGTTTGTTATTTCGTCGTGGTTTTGAACTTTCTTATACTCTGTCCTCCGAAATTTTTATGTTTTTTTTATTCATCTCATTGTCAGTTTGTATATTTCCAGAAGAACTCATGTCTTTCTCATCGTTATTAATGTTCTATTTGGAACATATGTATGTTTTGTTACTTAAGACCATTCGTTTAGTTCTTGTATATTATTTCATATTATATTCTAACCAGATTAATTATCTGGTTCCTGCGCATACAAAGAGTTGAATCAATTGATCCAGCACTCAGAAGGCCTGGGCGTCTTGATTTTGAAATTGAAGTTACTACACCTACAGAAGAAGAACGCTTTCAAATTCTCAAGGTGAGAGTGATGCTTTCAAAATTTGTAAGCTAGAAACTGGGCTTACTTTTTGTTTGTTTGTTAATGTCCATCAATTCTCATCTCGCTCAATTTGACACCCATTTTTCTTTTAAACATCAAATTTTTTTTTTTTCATCAAGTTTAATAGAAATTCAAAAGATATGACCGTAAGGTATGCTTAAAACTATGTTTTTGATTGCTCAGCTCTACACGAGGAATGAGCCTTTGGATTCCAACGTTAATCTACAAGCCTTAGCTGCATCTTGCAATGGATATGTTGGGGCTGATCTTGAAGTTTTATGTCGTGAGGCTAATCGCTTTGCAAAGAAAAGGAACTCAGATGCAAATGAAGATGCTGGTGTGTTTAGTGTAACAACAGAAGACTTGATGCATGCAAGATCTGAGGTTAATCGAAGTATAACAAGAGGAGTTACGGTGGAAATCCCCGAATTGAAGTGGGAAGATATAGGAGGATTAAAAGCTGTGAAGGTTTGTAAATTTTCGTGTTTGTCTTAGTTTGAAGTCTCACAGACAGTACTAATTATACTTCACCTTCTCATTGACAGAAAAAGCTCAAGCACGCCCTTGAGTGGCCTCTTAAATATGCTACACAGTTTACATGGATAGGAATATCACCCATGCGTGGAATTCTTCTCTATGGTCCTCCAGGATGCTCAAAAACCACCCTTGCTAAAGCTGCTGCTCATGCTACCCAAGCTTCTTTTATTTCTCTGAGGTTCGAACTTCTTTGAATCAGTCTATTTAAGCCTAAAGTACATTGGAAGTTTTACAATTATAATTAGTCTATTTGAGAAAGTAGAAGAGATGCGCATGCCTGAATTTCATGGACTTTGAATCAGTTGTGCGGATTTGTTTTCAAAGTATGTTGGAGAGGGTGAAGCCTTGCTGCGCAATACCTTTCGGATTGCTCGCCTTGCAGCACCAAGTATAATATTCTTTGATGAGGTTGATGTTGTTGGTAATAAAAGGTAAGTGACTTAATATGTTGCAGTTATGGGATTCATCTGCACATTGATGATTTGTTATTTTGTGTATTGGAGCAAGTACACTTAATCCAATGAGAATTTCCTTGATGAACTCCTACTTACATACAAGTCCCACAACTTTTTTGCTTGACTTAAATGGGCAGAGGTGACAGTTCAAGCAACAACAGTACCGTTGGAGAAAGGATTCTGTCTACTTTGCTGAATGAAATGGATGGTTTAGTAGAGGCCAAGGTAAGCACTACATCCCATTAAATTCTCTTGCTTGTGCAATAATTTTAAGATTAATTTTTAAGTGGTATCCATGCTGCATTATTTCTCATTTTCCTGTGCCTTTAAATTGTACTCTCCTTTGGTTTTCAGGGAGTCTTTGTTTTGGCTGCTACGAATCGTCCTTCTGCAGTGGATCCTGCATTACTTCGCCCAGGGCGCTTTGGATTGGTAAGAAGTTTTTGTCACTTATTTTTTTCCAACCTTTTTCCTTTTGTTCTGGTTGTGGTTGAGGTCGTTTATCATGGTCTGGTTGTCGGGGTGCGATGTTCAAAACTCTATAGAAAACAAAACTTGGGTGGTGTCAAAGAGATCAGCTAACTCTCTTATTTTTATGAACTTTGAAGGAGCTCTTTGTACCACCACCAGATTTAGAAGGTCGATACGAGATACTTCAGATACTTACACGTAAGGTGAGTGTAGCACATGATGTTGATCTCAAACAAATAGCAAAAGATACTGAGCACTTCACAGGAGCCGACCTGAAGCTGCTATGCCAGGAAGCTGGATTATTGGCTCTGGAAGAAGACATAGATGCCCCATTTGTGTGCCATCGCCATTTCCAGACTCTAATACCCGAAATCAAGGTTGATTCATATTCTTCGACATCAACTGCAGAACACGATGAGTGCGGAAGGACTTCTTATGCACAAAGTGCAGAACAAACCCAACGCAATCATCAAAGACGGTGGCAAGGAGTTTCCTTTCCCTTTAAATTTATTTGGGTTTTTTTTAAGTGCAGTTTTTTTATTTATATTTTTTTAGGAAGCACCTTCAGTCTTTTTTCTAAACCCTAAACTCAACGAGTTAGGGTATAGTATGCTATTAGGATTTAACAAATTGAGAGAGTTGAAATTGAAATGAAACCAACAAGTTTCAAATATATTTTGCTGCTTTATCACCTTGATTACGTCTCCTTGTCATCCAAAGTCACAATACGGTTCTCACTCAACCGATTAAAGCTTTAATATAGCATCTAATATGCGACCTTATAACTCACAATTCTGAGGTCAATCCAAGATTTCCCCTAATTTGTTAAATACTAATAGCACAACATAAGCTAACTCATAAAAAAATTTGATAGAATGGAAGATGAACAGGATCCAAGATGATAGAATCCTAATTTGTTAAATACTAATAGCACAACAAGAAAGTTAATGGAAGATGATAGAATGTCTATAAATTGTAAACTTTGGGAAATGCAGTGACCAATTTGGCTAAAAAAAAATCTCAGTAACCAAATTGAATTTTTGTTAAAACCCAGTGACCAAAAAGATATTTAACCCAATTTCTTTTTAAATTTTTTTCCAACATCTCGATTGTGGGTTCAAGTCCCACTTGCAGCTGCTTTCATTTTTTTTTCTCCTTTTTTTTTTTCTTCCATCCATCAATTTAATGCTTCCATTAATTTTAATTTTTTTTTTTTGCCAGGAACCTTTTTAACTACCATTTTCAATCAAGCTCTTTTTCTAATGGATTCTGGGAGAACATGAAAACAGAGAAGAACTGAATCCATATGATAAGCTTAAAATTTGCATAGTTTTCTTATAAGCATCTCCAAACCAAATCCTAGTCAAGCTTTAAACTTTATGAACCATACAAATTTGACAACATGATCCAAGATGGTTAACCTTTTTTTCTCTTTTTACATATGATATGTATAAATTTCTGTTTGGATTATGCTTTAAATAAGATATTGTAGTCTATTAAATTCCACAAATAAAATCATTTTTCAAAAGGTATGAATCTTGTGTTATTTTATTTTCATACTGGATATTAGCCGTCGAATCAAACGACTTGACAATCAATTTGTTTATTAACTATATCGTGTTACACACAACTTTTTTGCGAATTTAAGAAATCTTTCGACCTTTAAGAGAAACTAAACAATTGTCAAGTCATTTGATATGATGGCTAAGTCTATCATTTATAAATTCCTAATAAGATGATTTCACTTAATATAGAAGAAGAATATTATTTGGTTTAATATTATTGTGTGTATTCATCTCACAAAGACGAATATATATACAAGTAGGGTTACAATCCTAATCCAACTATCACATGAAGTAATTATAGGCCTATACTAGGAAATCTAATATTACAAGGAATTACCTTAAAATATATACGATACAACCTTCATAAGTACATCAGCCAATTGGTCTTATGTCTTGATTACAAGAACTTCAAGAATTTTATCCTAAAACTTCTCCTTAATAAAGAACTTATCAACCTCAACATGTTTCATTCTATCGTGCTGCACCGAATTATGAGCAATATTACGAGTAGCTTGATTATCACAAAATAACTTCATCGGTTGACTAGGTGCAAAACCCAAATTTTGTAATAACATATTAAGCCATAGGATCTCACACATTCCCAACGCCATACCTCTATATTTAGCTTCTACACTTGACTGAGCAACCACATTTTGCTTCTTACTCCTCTATATAACAAGGTTCCCAGTGGCGGACCTGTGCAGGCGCAAGGAGGTGCACCTGCACCTCCGGTCGCCGGAAATCACCATTAGAGGTGCTGGAGTTGCGCCTCTGCTCCAGACATGCGATGCACAGAAGGTGTTCGACGAAATGCGCAAGTCATTGGGCTTGCTGCGCGCTTGTTTTTTTTTAAAGATGCCTGGCCAAAACGACGTCGTTTTGGACCAGGATTTTTAAATTAAAAAGAAAGGGAAACTGATGCTGTAAACGGACCAGGCTTTTTGTGGGCTTTTCAAATGGGTTTTATTTCCTTACTTAATTGGGTTTTATTTCCTTACTCAATTGGGATCTCTTTATTCAATTGGGTTTTGAACCAATGATACCAATCAAACTTTCCATCCGCCGAGCTTGAGTGGTCGGGCTTCCCGGCGGCGGATGATGCTTTCTTTGAAAGAGCTTCTTTACTTGGGGCGGAATCCTTTTTTATGGGGCCTCCCGTTGGCCAACCTTTGAATGGTTTGGAGCTCTCCCAAACGGTTGCCCATGTGAAGTCTGAAAAATAAATTGGGCCATTCCTCGGCTGCGTCACCCATACACTTGTCACCTCCTCTGGATAGGCGGAGAAAAATGGGCCGAGAATGTATTGGGCGGAATTGGGGAAAGCATTGAGGTAGTAGGCGAAGATTTGCTTGCCCAAATCGTTTTCCATAGCCACTTTCATGTCTTCAAAAAATTGGGCGCTATCACTTGGAATGGATTCCATCCTACAAACATGAGGCAAAATCGAATCAAAGAAAAATACGGTGAAGCAAGCAAGATTCGAAACAAGAACACGAAGAACATCATGGCACTATTCATACTTCAAAGTTTCAACTCTAAACTTTTGAAAGCTACAAATGCATCAAAATCATGCCAACATCAACCAAGAATTAGTGCAACGTACCTAGAAGCTTGCAAATCTCAAGTTTGATGTTGATTCGGGTGAATGCGGTGTGCGAAATGATGAATTTGAAGGGAAAAGAATATGGGTTTTGAGAGGAAACCTTCTAAAAGCCTATAGCTATGGTGGAAGTGTTTATGTGAAATGAAAGAGAACACTTGGATATTTGTAATATCTAGGGTTTTTAACGGATAGGAATTTCAAAAGTCCCTCCAATTTAATTGGTGTCCTCCTAAATTCCTACCCGATTCAAAATTTAATAACGTGCAAGGCAAGCAAAAAAGAAAAATCTCAAATTTCAGAAATTGAAAGGTTTTGGGCTTCGATTTGCTTACCTCTACGCAGAATCCGAGCTAAACAAATCGGGGGGCAATGTTTGGGGCCGATGAAAGTTAACCTGGGCAGCTAGACTCTTGGAATGTCGGCCAGGCTTTGAGAATGGAATCGCGGTCGGGCGAAGGTCTTGCAGAGAGGCCGAGATTTGAAGAGCTTGAGCGGCCGGGTGTTGTTGGATTGCGACCGGGGCTAGGAACTGGAAAAATACGGCCAGGCTCAGAGTTTGATACGGCCGGGATAGGTGAAGGAGATCTTGGAGAATCTTGGCAGGATTTTCGAATGGGAGTTGCGGCCGGAATTTTGGAGTTTTCGTGGCCGGGCTGCGTTCAAGTGTGTGGCTGGGCGCGGTCGAAGGAGCTTGGGCTCGCAAGTTATGGCAAGGTCTACTGGAAGGTCGTTGGATGGGCGTGTTGGCTAGAAGATTGCGGGCGGATGTGTTGAATGATTGCGGCTAGGCCTTTAAGTGGAGATAATTGCGGCCGGGTTTTCTTGGTTTAGAGCAGACAAGGTTTTGGAAAATTGGGGCCGGGGTGTTGGTCTCCAAAATTGGGCCTGAAGGTATTTCGCTTCTTTACAAACCGAGCTGAAAAGGTTTTTGAATGGGGAATCTAATTGACTTATTATATATATATGTAATTTAAATTATAACGCCCAAGTGGTTTAACTCAGGCCACATGCATATATATATATAGATTCAAGTTTTGTGCATGGAAGAATTCATGTTCTTGTGTGGCCAACTTCAATAATGGAGGGGCCCGCACACATGATTTGATATACTCATAGAAGATTGAATTAGGTTTCTTGGCGGACCAATTTTTGGGGCTCTAGGAATTCAAAGGTCGTGAAAGGCACCTTCATGTCATGCCAAGAGATTGAAAGTCTAAACCCAGTTCCAAGACACCAATTCGAGCCCCGGGTTTTCGGAGGATCATATGCACGTGACGAGATTTCCGGAGGTCAGTGTGCATGTGATGGAGGCCTCACAAGGAAACAAATCAAGGAGATTGATGATAATTCATAATATTCCAAAACAAGAGAGAATCAAGCAATCAGAATATTTCAACCAATGTAATCCCACGGATTCAAGGGGCCTCAAAAGGAAAGATTTTTAAAAGAGTTGATATTTGGCCATTCAATGGCCAGCCCATGGGCTGACGGAAGCCCTATATAAACCTCCCCAGACGAAGACAGAAGACACACAACATCAAACAGACAAACCTATCTTTCGTCTCGCACTTTTCTTTTCCTAGACTTAGGATTTTACTTTTCATGCACCTAGTGTAGCGAGTTCTTCCTTTTCTTAGTGTAAGTTTAAATTCTTGCAATTTACATTACCTTGTCATTTAAATTCAAGTTTATTTCAATTGCTTTACTTTTCATTGTTATCGCACTTCAATTAAGTTTAATTTCAAGTTCATTTTACTTTATTGTTCTTATCGCTTTCATTTCGTTCTTGCTTTATTTATTGCTTTGATTCATTTTATCGCACTTTAATTCTCGTCTTTACGTTATTTATCTTTCGCACTTTACTTTACGCATTTTTCTTTAAATTATATTTAAGTTTAAGCACCTTTACTTTACGCACTTATTCTTCGTTTCATTACGTTTCACCTTCAATCTTCATCTCCAACCCACTCCACATCATTTGGTCGCTCACATAAAGCCTTGATCCCGAGGTAGCGAAAGAACCTAGGCCGTGAGGAGGTTCCTTGCTCGGCCGAACAATCGTTTGATTAAAGTCAAATCTCGGACGCAACACATCCATCTACTCACATTCCATTCAAGCCCAAATTCGGGGCTTGGTGGTGGCACGCCCCGCACTCAAAAAAGAAGAAGGACAAAAAAACTCCTTCAGTCGGCCTACCCGGCCGAAAAGAGGGAAACAGGATCGTTTGACTAGTCCACATGAAACCGTCCTCAAATGACCATGTGGCTAGGGACGAGCCGTCCAACTCGGGGATTGACTCTCAGCCAGCACGTACGATCGAAAACCTCAAGACTCGTACGCCTGAAACAGCCCTACGCGCGCAGACTACCCAATTAAGGGTCTACAGTGACACCCCGTTAAGATATGCCCCGGGTCCCATCATATCCAAACCATATCCATATATCCATGTATCCCAGTATCCATATCCACTGTTTCCAAGTAC